TCCCAGATAGACAGGGAATACAGCTTGCAATTTATGTTAAGGTGGCAGGCAGGCATTCTGCCCAGGTTTTCTGGGAAATTCCCCTGCTCCTTTCAGAGGCTACCCATCCTCTAGCCAACATGAAGTTCCATATCCTCAACTGTGTGGATAATGTACGGTATTAAAGAAGTGGAAGAAGTAGAGCACCATGTACACTATCTGGCCAGAATGACAAATCCAGCTTCTACAACACTGAAAAAGAAATACATGCCCAACTATGACTTTTATAGAACCACATATATTTAAACATTCTAAAGCAAAGGCTAAAACAATATAATTATTCTATATGTTGCCTCATAACATGTTTTAGGTATTCATTACCCTCTTTTTTTATGGGACCTCACTGTTTACAGGAGGAGGAGGAGACTGAAACATTTGAAAACCGAGGCCTATGAGGAAAGATTGAGGGAATTTGGTATGTTTAGTCTGGAAAAGAGAAGGCGGGCAGGTGATATGATAATCTGAAGTACTTGAAGGTCTGTAATGTTGAAAATGGATAAGGCTTGGTAGTTGTTATTGTTTTTGTTTTGGTTTTTTGGCATCTCAAAAGAATAGGAAAGATGGATGAAGTAATGGACTCAAAGTACAAGAAAGAAGATTTGAACTGAACAGTACGAAGAAGAAACGTTTCTAAAAAAGAGAGCCACTGACAAAGGAAATCAACTGCCTTTGAAGACGGTGGACTCTATTTCACTGAAGATTTTTTAACCAAAGGCTGTATGGCCAACTCTCACTGATATTTTAGCTATGGATTTTCTGCACTGGCAAAGTGCAGTACTGGACTTGTTGACCCTTGGGGTCCCTTCCAGTTCTACAAGTCTATTATTCTAAGATGGCACAGAAGTGGACTACTTGAGATATGGCTGTTATTATTAGAAGCCTCATCTGCATCAGTACTGCTTTTAAGAAATGCCCCCAAATCCCTTCAATGGAGTATCAACCACAAATAAAACATTCTTCTGTATGAGTGAAACCACACACAAGGCATGTGAAGCAGCTGTGGAAAAATTGTCCAGACAGGGCACAGCAGGGATATTTGTATGTTCCTGGAGTAGAGATGCAGTTCGAGAAGATCCGAATTACACTTGGGTCAATTAGGGCACCCATACAAATCACAGATGTTCGCTTCAGTTTCAGAGGTTTTTAAATGCTTAGATTTGAATTTAAAATACTTGACACCAATTGTAGCAGAAGGAAGTAGCACCAAAGCAGGAAACTGACAGCGGAAGCACCAACAGAAGACAAAACTTTCACGGGATCACTAAGTCTTGCAGAGGGCTCATACTCACCCGAGTCATACCTATTTTATAATCAATGAACAGCAGCCATTACACATCCAGGCACGGCAAAGAAGGTGGCACATCACTTGCTAGCTTGGCCACATTCTAGAACTTTCTTGATTTCTTTTCAGTAGCTATAACTGACCCTTCATCCCATTTGGGGCAAAGTGTGTATCTCTGTCAACGTGAGAGAATGGCGTAATGGATAGGTTAAAGTAGAGCTAGGGACTATTCCCAGCCCACAGCTGTTTTCATCTTCCTTTTTAAAAAATGTCTGCTTTTGGCCGTTATTTGCAAAATCATTTCTTGCCATGGGTGTGCGTATGGTCACCAAACATTCGACATTCATTTAGGCTAGGCCAGCGATGGTGAATGCATGGCACGCATGCCACAGCTGGCACACAGAGCCCTTTCTGCCGGCATGCAAGCCGTAAG